GGTCCCCGCGCAGCCCTGGGGGGAGGAAGGGCTGGAGGGGCAGGAGCACAGAGCAGATGGCTCCTCTGCCACCTTCGACGTCAGCTAGCAGAGCTCCCTCCCATCCCAGGGCTTTGCAGTCTCCTCCAGGCCTGGGGCCGGGCAACGTTTTGGGTTCAGTTGAATCGTTTTCATTCAAACGCACCCAGAAATCACAACTGTGATGCTGCTGACACAAACTCAGCCAAGAACCAGCCAAGGACAGGATTTTCTTCCACCAAGCACTTGCTGAGAGCAGAGAGATCAAACCCCAAAATCCACTGCCATGTGTAAACACCTGTTCCTCTATCATGGATGGACTTACTCCCTGTTGCATCTACACCCAGAGCCTGTGAAAGCTCTGGCCCCTCCAACCAGCATTTCCCAGTTGATGTGTGCAAGGAAGTGCAACCCCCCCAATGGGGGGGGCTGCAGATGGGGATCCCTGGCCCCAGTGCCCAGCTGGAGGAAGCTTTCAGACCCCAAAACCGTAGGACTGTTGGACTGGGATTTATCCACAGGCCCCAGCAGTGAAGTGGGGATGAAAAATGAGAAAGAAGCAAAGCTCAGTCCCTGTGCAGCTCTGGCTCTTCTCCACAGGGTCTGAGCTCTGGAGCTTGTGGGTGCAATTTTAGAGACATTTGGAAAATATTGGTTTGTTTGTGTCCTGGTTTAGGAGCTGCATCCCAGGGCAGTGCTGGGCACAAACCCAGCTCAGGTAGGAAAATCCAGGAGCGAAGCACAGAAGGACCAAGGGGAGGGAGGTTGTTTGCCAGGGAAGCACAGCCATGGAGCCATGGTAGGGGAAGGATTTTAATGCCTTTGCACAGCCTGGGGACAGCTCAGCATCTCAAGCAGGCAAGGTGCTTGTGGAGGCAAGCAGGACACTGGCACTGAGGTGGGACAGCCAGGGCTGTGTGAGAGCTGGGGGTGCCCAGCAAACCTGGGAATAAATAGAGCCCCTCCACCCCACCTGCCGTGTCCAGCTCCTTTGGGAAGCCCCCCAGCTGCAGTGGAGGAGAGGCTGGAGGGTGGTGGGACCTGCTGGAGGCAGGGAAGCTGAGGGGGGATGGAGAATGTGGGTGACGCCTGAGGACATCCCTGGAGGGGGGCGCTGCGGCACAGGAATGTCATGGATGTCACAGGAATGTCATGGATGTCACGCTGAGTGACTGCTGTGATTCACTCCCACCTCTGAACCCTGCAGAGGCTCCGGGGTGCCTGAGCCCTGTGACTGCCACCAGCCAAGGGCTGTCAGTGAAATCCTTCCTCTTGTTTACCACAAGAGCATCACGGGACCAGGATCAAGTCACCCTTTTGAAAACCCCGTGGCAGAGCACAGCCAGGGTTGGTGGCCAAATGCAGGGAGCTGGGATGAGCTCTGCATCCCTACAATCCCCCAACAGCCTCCATGAAGGTCAGCTCTCTATAAAACTGCATTACAGAGGCTCTCAGTCTGTCTGCACAGATTCCACTGGTGTGAATCCCCACAGCAGGGCTCCCCAGGCTGGGATGGGTATTTCTGTCCAGGACCCTGGCTCTCCCTGGGGGTCTGCTCCTGACACAGCCCTCCTCCACCCAGCCCCAGTGCTTGGCTTTTTTTTATTGAGAAGCTTCTGACTGTAAAACATTTCTTTTCCCCTGCTGAGTGTTATTATAACCAGATCTTCCTCTCCCCACAGAGAGGGCCATAAATTGGCCACCTCCTCCTATCAGTGATGGTGATATTTAGTCTAGTCCTGTTCCCAGCATAAGTCACAGAGAGCAGCATATAAGCAGCTCCATTAATTACATCTGCTTTTATCTCCCTGCTCAACCCTTCACAGCCAGGGAAAACATTGAAGCAGCTGCACAAACACAGCTCAAAGCCTCACTTTCCTTGGGCCCTCATTTACCACAGATCTGCTTCCAATGGATCCCACACACAGTGAGGGGTTCAATCTACTCTCCTGGGCAGTTTTCAGCTCACCTTGGGGATGGAGATGCTCCAATGGATCCCACACACACTGAGGGGTTCAATCCACTCTCCTGGGCAGTTATCAGCTCACCTTGGGGATGGAGGTGTTGGCCCACCCCCTGTGCAGTGCCCAAGGGCACAGCTGCCTGTGCTGGCATGGCAGGGGTGCAATATCCCCATGCCCCTGTCAGAGACACTGATTCTGCTCCCCATCCCTCCCAGCTCAGCCTTTCCAGCAGCCTCCCAAGCCCGTGGCTGACCCTGCCCTGCCCTGCTGCTGCTCCAGAGCTGCCCAGGACAGCCCTTCCTCAGCTCCCAGCCCAAAGCATCACTGTGGCCCCTCTGGGCACCACTGGCACCTGCTCATTTCTGGTCACTGCTCAGCAATGAGGTCCCAAAGGGTGACAGTAGGCTGAGGGCAGGCTCTGCACCTCCCTGCTGCCTCCAGCACCCCCAAATCCCCTCTGGCATGGCTCACATGGCTGCTCTCAGCCTCTCCAGGGGCAGAGAGGGGCTTGGTGATGGTCACAGCAAGGTCAGGGCTCTCTTGTGACACATCCAACACCCCTCTCCTCATTTTATGGATCCTCACCCATCCACTGACTCTCACCTGGCTGCAGGTGTAAGAGTGAAGCCAGATCATTACTCTGTTCACAGCAAATTCAGAATTAGAGAAAAAGGCCCCCTCCAGCTTATCTGACATTGTCCCTGCTCTGAGGAGGAAAGCATCACCCTCACACCCAGCCCGTGCCTTGATGAGCCCTCCAAGGGCAAACACAAGGTTGTGCTGCCAACACAAAATCACATTTAGAAGCTACTTTCCCCCTCAAATAACAGAGCATATCAGGCCCAGATGGAAAAGACAAGAGCATCAGGATCTGCTGACACTCACCATGCTCCCAGCTGAGAGAAATGGGCTCCTGGTCCATTCCCCTGGGAGGTTTTATCTTAAATTAAGAGCACTGCAAGTCCTTATGTTCCAGTTAAAATTTAATAAAAGCATATTTAACTGGAAGTGAAAAATGAAAAGGCTGAACTGAGCTCCCATCAGGCCCAGGAGCGGGCAGGGAGGTGAGGGACACTTGGCTGAAAGCTCAGTGTGAACTTTCCAGTGAGCTTTCCACACAGATTTATCACTAGGGTTAGAGAAGTTATTTTGGTTTGTGGGTTTGTTTTCAAATATTTACTCTGTCAAATTTGCTCCCCAGTCTGAGGAGGCAGCAGGGAGCACCCCCAGACCCTGGCACAGCCCCCAGCATGGGCAATGGGCAGCTAAAAAATAAACAAGGGAGAAATGGGGCTCTGGCCCCAAAACCTTGGATACAGAGACACATTGCCTGTGTCAGGGCAGAACAGGAGGTGAGGGAAGGGGGTCAGACCCCACAGGAGCCTTGGGGGGAGCAAAAGGGGAGGCAGAGGGGGTCCAGCTCCAGCTGTGGCCCCTCTCCATGGTCTCAGCGTGACCCCAGGCTCCACTCTCAGCCCTCAGAGGGGCAGGAAGGGCTCAGCCGTGACAGGGTCAGGCTGTGCTGGCCGCCATGGTCGCTCCTAATTAACGCGTTGCAAACACATTCCTGACCATAAAAAGGCAGGGAGCTCACGGAGCCCTCCCCTGGCGCTGCCGGGGTTGGACACAGCTCAGCCTGGAGCTGCCACCCTGGGGCAGGGGTGCCTCAGGACACAACTGCTGCTGCTCCCACTGCAGCTCCGGCTCCCCACGCTCCTGCCCTGAGCAGGGAGAGGCAGAGGGAGGGAGTGCTTACAGCCAGGCTGGATTTAGGGAGCAGCGACCGGGTGGCTCAGGTTTCCCTTTAACTCAGGGAAATGAGGGTCTGGATTCTCACCTGGGAGCAGCAGAATTTACCTGTTCCCCCAGGGAATCATCACTTCCAGCTCCTCCTTACTGCACATATCAGCCCCCAGCAGCCTCCTACCCCCATTCCCTCCTCCAGATCAGCCAGGGCATCCCTGGGGTAGAAAGAATGCAGTCAGCTACTGGTGCTGCTCATGGAGGGACCAGGATATTTTACATCCATCTCTGGCTGCATCTGCCCCCCAGCCCTGGTCTGGTACAGCTTTCCTGGGGCAACAGGCTGACAGCAAAGCCCAGAAAGGCCTCTTTTGGTGGGGGCCACACAGAGGCATTCCCAGAGCCTCTGGAGAACAGGATGTGGCCCTATCCCAGACCCTTGGACAATCTCACGCCTTTTCTTCGGGCTCTTGTTGGCACAAAAGCCTCAGCTCAGGGAGGATTTCAGCTCCTGCACCCTGAAGCTCAGGTGCTCAGGAAAGCTGCAGGCAAAGCTCCCCCTCCCCTCCCCTGGCTTTCCCTGTGACTGTTCCAGGTGAATTGACTCACCCTGGGAACAGCTGCAATAAAACATGTTTTACAGCTCAGCATGAAGTCCACGCACTCTCCTCAAGAAAGAAATTCATATCAGACTGCTGCAGTGTCAGAAACAGAGCCAGAAAGATGGAATCCAGCTCCTTCTGGTGAATGTCAGGGTGTGTATCCAGCAGACTCAACACTGCATGAAACACAAGGCAGCAGAGCTTTGCTTGTGTATAAAAACCCTGCCCGGCGCCTGCCAGCCTCCAGAGGCTCTGGCTTAAAAACAGCAAGTGCAGGATCTCAGCTTTCCACAGACATTTGAGATTTGACAGCAGGAGGAAGGTTTCTGCAGGGAGGGCTCTTGTGTTGGCACTGTGAGCCTGCATGGTCAGACACACAACAACAGTCAGGCGCTGGTCAACACTTGAACTCACACCGTGTCCAGCTCTGGGCTGGATGAGCCTGTCACAACTGCTGCTTTCAGGCATTTGCTACACCAGGCTGAGGAAGAGGAGGCCAGGGGTTCAGGGAGGGCAGGAGCTACCTGAAAAACATCTGTCTGAGGAGGCAGGCAGCTGGGTGTGCCACAGCACAACTGTGCTCTCACCCAGGCTCTAACATCCAACAGCTCTTCCACTGCTGGGCTGATCAGACCCCAGCACACTCTGCTCTAAACACTGCTCAGGTGAAAAATGGATTTGCTCCAAGCTGCAAAGCAGCAGCTATTGTGAGTGCTCCTGACTCTATGGAAACCCTGGCTTTCAATTGTTACAGACAAACAATGGAGCAGGCAGCAGGAGAGGGAGAGGGGAGCAGGGAATGCCTGGCCAGAGAGCACAGGTACAGCACAGGTGCCCCAACGCCCTGAAGAGCCTTGGGGCAGTGTCAGAGTGCAGCTCCCTTCTCAAAGCCTGCCAGGAATGCCCCAAGGCACGTGGGAGAGCAGCACTTGCTCTGCACGTGATCCCCACAGTTAAACAAAGGGAATGGGCTCGGCTGCCTGCAGGGAGGAGATGATTCCGATTTGGGAACACAGGAGACAAAGGAAAACAGGGATGGGAGGACAGTGCTGAGTGGAAATCACTGTGGGAACACCTGCTCTGCCTCAGGTCAGTAAGGAGCAGCACCCAGCCAGGGCACCATGGAGCTCCCTCTGCTTCTGTCACAGCTGCAGCCCTGCCATCACCCCACTGCCTCATGTGGAACAGAGCACTGATACAGGTCTGGTTTTGGGGTAAAACATCCCTGCACATGACTGAACTGCAGCCCTGCCAGCAGCCCCTAACCCCAGATTCAGCATTGAGCCCCATGACTGAACAAAATAACAGCTGAGATCAACAATGTGAAAATAATTTGGGATCCTACACAACTGAGATTCCCAAAACCCATCAGAGAAGCAGGTGGCACCATCTGGAGCTCACAGCTTCCTGCACCTAACAAAAGGGCTCTACCCATACAGGGGTTTTTTGGTAGTGTATTTTTCTTTCTTTTTGTTTTTAAACACATTCCCCATGTCTGCTGCACATCAAGGCATTAACACAAACCTAGGTGAGGTGGATGTGCCAAGGTAGGAGCCCACAGGGCAGACTTTGCCTTATCCCATGGATGCAGAGCAAAGACAGCCAGGAGTTAGTGTTTCCACAGGTTTATAAATCTGATAAATACAAGTATAACACCCTGCCCACCACAATGGGGCAGGGGAGAAGGGAAGGGAGTCCCAAGGGTTGCTGAGAGAGCACTGGCTTGTACTTGGCAGCTGGAGAGTTCACAACAGCTGGAAATTTATGCTGACGTGTCAAACAGCTTCTCAATCATCTCCCCCACCTGGTCAACCTGGTATTTGATGTATTTCTCAGGGTTCTTGGTGAAGGGCACGTTGCCAAATCTACAAAAGAAAACAGGGGACAAACAACTGGAACACAGCAAAGAGACCCCCTGGTCCCTCCTCTCACAAATCAGCTCAGCACACCCCACTCGAGTGACAGAGTATCCAGTGCAGAGCAATGAGCTGGTTACAACTGGCCTCACAAGTTTTACATGAACAGCCCAGGCTGGCTCAGGGTTTTGTGCTCACTGACCAAGGATCAGGCTGACAGCACATGTCTGCAAATACTCAAGGTCACCTTGGGGATGTCTGAGTGTGCAAAGCAGAGAAGCTCAGATAGGACATTAGAAAAGTGGCTTGCTCAGGCTATGCAAGGCCCCAAAGACCTCAGTAAACCCAAAGAGGAGAGGACAGTGCTGCAGGAGGTCTCACCTGCTCAAAAAGGCACCATAGGTCTCTTTCACAATGGTTTTCTGTGCCCGGCGGATTTTGTCCCGCTGCTCCATGTCTGGGATGGCCCAGGCCTTCTGGATCTTACACAGCTCCTCCAGCCCATCATTAAAACCCTGTCCAAAGACAAACTCAGTGAGCATCCCATCTGCACTCAGATGCTCCTTCCCTCCCCTGGGGATCACCAGAGGTCTCCTCCTCAGGCACATCTGTATCCCAATCAAGCAGGGATGTTCTGAACCCAACCAACACCTCCTTACCTTGAAGCGCTCCTTTATCATCTGCCTCTCCTTGTCCTTGAGCTGCAACAAGGAGGGAAAGGATCTGACTTCATCTCCAGAAATAAATACCCAACACCAATGTTTGCCCACAGCTCCCCATCCAACCTAAGCAATCCCCAGTACTTGGTTTGGATTCCCTCTCCTACAGCAGTGAGGAGAGAGGTGCAGAGAGCAGCACACCCTACCCAGCTGAAGCAGGGTTAACAGGGATAATTTTTATTCAGAACAGACATAAAATAGACTTCTTCATGCTTCCAACCCTTTCCAAGGGAAGGTCTCAGGTTCTGAAAATCCAAAATAGACACATTGCTCAGGTGGAGATGTAAGAATGGAGGCAGAGATTAAAAGACTTGATGAATCTAGGGCAGGGCAGATCAGAAGGAAATGCTGCTGTCCACTTGTGCCAGCCACAGTGGTCACTCTGCAAAGTGATACTGGCATGAGATATAAAGAAGGATTCTGAGACTTTTTTATGACAAAGGAGATGGTGTTTCTGAAACATTCTGTTGTGTCAAGCCCATCCTTGCCTGTCCTCTCACCTTCACTCCTGGTTGAAAGACAGGCAGGTTTCTCTCAGAGATGTATTCTGTCACCTTCAACCAGCTGCATGTGCAATGAGATGGGAGAGAAGCAGAGAGTTACTCACAGCTCTACCAGAGCACCTCTGTCTTCACCTGTGACCCAAAGGCCAACTCAGACAATGCACACCCCAAAACTTCCCACAGTGANCCAACTCAGACAATGCACACCCCAAAACTTCCCACAGTGAACCCCTTCCCAGGATGGATTAATTGCTTGGAAACCAAACATCCTCTGCTTTGGTTTTAGCCAAGTTTCTGCTTTAGGTGAGTCTCTCCCACTGCTCCAGCAGCTCCCAAAGTGCCAGAAGCAAGGCAGAGGCAGAGGATGTCACTGACCTGCGCTGGTAGGTCTGGATCTGCTGCTCAATGAGCTCCCTGTAGGACCTCTCAGCTGTTTTCTGTGTCACAGCCACCAGCTGGATCAGCTCAGACCTGGAAGAGCAGGAAACCTGAGGAAGCACCTGAGCCAGCTGCTCTCCAGGCTGCTCTCAGGATGGCAGCATTTCAACCCCCATCAACAAGTTCCTTTCAGCCCTTCACAATAAAATGTTCCTTGAAATGTGCAAACTGGGAGACAGAAGCAACTCTGAGTTACTTTCCACAGCCACATCCTCAATCCTCCCAAGATCAAAGGATTCTCTAAAACCTAAGGCATTTCCTAATGCTTTTATCTTCCACTCTCAGGTAATGTGATGTTTATAATACTGCAAAACCTTCAAAGAGGCAGTTTCAAGGACAGAAGAAAAAGCAGTTATGAGGCTGGCAAGTAAATGCTCTCAATGCAGAGCTCCAAAACCATCCAGTCAGCCTTGGACTCGAGTGAGATTCACTCAGGACACACACTTACTTCTCCAGAGATTTCAGAATGTAGTTGTAGTTGTTATGCAGAAAAATGGCACTCAAAGCTGGGTCTTCATAAACCTTGGATTTGCTAAGCAGGTTAAGCTGCAGGTTGCCCAGAACTTTGCCTTAAAGAGGGAAAAACACAGAACAAGAAGTTTTGCACTGAAACTTCTTATTATTGACAAAGCAAACCAAGCTGTGGGCCCACAGCAAAGTGAACAGCACAGGCCTGACTGCCTGCACAAAGGCTACAATCACATGTACTTAACAGTCCTTACACAGATTTTCTGCTGCCTTCCATGCCTTGGCAATGGAGGGGCACTTTGTGTTCAGAGGAACCCCCAGAACCTGCTACAATGCAAGCTCAGGTCTCAGAAGCTGAAGGACCTGCTCTCCATTGTAACAGAAAGAGAAATCACTGATGTCACGTTCTTAACCTTCTCTTTGGCAGCTGGGAGCCTTCATGGGGTTGAAGGTGACAATGGTTTAAGGAACAGCACTGCAGCACAGTGAGCTGCTGCACTGTGCTTTGTCCTGTCCTACTCTAACAGCCCAACTCCCAGTCTGACCCTTTTTTCATCCCTCCCATCTGATTCCAGCTCAAATCACATGGAAAGATCCCATGGAGAAGAGACACAGCCTGTGCTCTTCAGCCAGGAATGAGCCCAGTGAAGGCATTTCCATGGGGCATGTGCAGGAAGCTGATGCCTTCTAGGGGCTACCTAAAAACAGAGGCTCAACAAAATTAAAAGAGTAAAAAGCAGTTCTATTTATTGAAGGGCCTTCAGGTACATTTCAGCCCCTCCCCTGGGGTTACACCCAAAAATGGACAGGGTCATGGGTGTTCCTACTTTTATAAGTTTGGTCTATTTGCACATTGAGGGTTCATTTTCCAATTACAGCTTTAGGTAATGAAGTCATTTACCCAAAGTTTGCTCCCCTCCAATTCACTTTTGTTTACATCTCTTGGGGCCTGAGACACTGAGGTGTCCTTGATTGCCAGGCCTAGAGAGGAATTGTTGTGTCTGACCAAACTGGGAAAGCAGTAGCTAACACTCTATATGGAGTTTAGAGTTACACACTAAAGAATTGCAGGATTACGAATATATGAAAAATACAAAAGCTAAAATCCTAAGGCATCCAAGGTGTGCAGGGTACTCACAGATGTAGGTGCTCAGCAGCCTCCTGCTGAACTCTGAGCTGTAGCTGCTGGCTGAGGAGCTGGTCTCTGAAAAGAAAGTCTTAGGCCAGTTAACATGCCCTGGGGAGAGGGGGTGTGTGCTCAGCCTGCCCCTATTCCTCACCCCTGCTGCTATGGAACAGTGAAACAGCTTCTGCTCCAGAGCCCACTGCCAGCAGCTCATCCAGGCTGAGGGGGCAAGAGCTCTGCACCCTCAATCCTTGTGTCTGCATCAAATGCAGAGCACTCTGGCAGAAATATCTCCTTTCCTTCCAGGTGCTCAGGGAACATCCTTTTGATCAGAAAGAATCATAAAACTCCTCCTCCCCATCCATTCCCCCAGCCCGAAAAGTGTTGGTAAGCACTAGAAGCTGGCAATCAGAGAACAATGAGCTGGAGCTGTTAACAGCAAGCACACAACAGTAATTGAAACAAGCAGAAGGGCTCTGGAAAGCTTCAGCCATCCCCATGGTTGCTGACAGGGCCTGTGCCAGCAAGGGAGGCTGCCCCTGCAGGCAGCAGAGACTCCAGGCTGGCACATCCTCCTGTCTGGAGATGCCTTTCTGCCCTCGAGGGCTTGTGGGCATGGGGCCCACAGGACACGTGGGGTGGCCACCTCCCCCTGCCCCCTCCACAGAGTCTGGCAGCCAGAGCCAGCTCGGGTGGTCTGGGTTCAGCAGCACCCCATGGGAAAGGGCTCGAGCTCCTGTTGCTGGGAGCTGCACAATAAGGAGCTGAGTGCACGTGGGATAAAGCATGGCACCAGCTGGGCCAATCTGCCACCTGTGCCAAAGAGAGCCAGTGCCATCACAGTGTCTTGAGCCTGTTTCAGCTCCTGTGGCATCCCTCATTGTCTGCTGCTGACAAGCCCTCCCTATTCTCTCCTGGCAAGGATTATTTACCCTCCCCTTTTCCCCCTTTTCAATTATGTGTTAATTTATTTACAACTGCTGGAGGATAAAGAATTAACATACATCACCAGAGCCCGAGGCAATGTGAACAGGTAGGTGTGGGTAGCTTTGCTTACCTCTGGGATCTAAAGGAATATTGTATGTGTCCCCAAGAACTACAGAGATTAGGCAGAGCAGAGAAAAAAGGGGAGGGATGAGAGAGAAAAAGAAATGCAAAAGTGCAAAAAGACAGGTTAGAGACCACCATTCCTTTGAGAACAAAGCAGATATTAACACAGAGCAGCCACAGGCAGGGGCACAGGACAGCAGGGAGTCCCTCCAAGGGCACAAATGGAGTGGAGATCACAGAGGAAAGGCAGAGTCCAACCTCCTTCCCCTGCTGGAGACATTGTTTGCATTGTTATTGGTTGTATTTAGCACAACACCTCATTCCAAATCAGTCCAAACCCACTTTGAAGGCAAAGCTACCTCAAACCTATGCTGACTTTTCAATCAGCTAAGAGAGATCTCACTGCAAGACAACATGTCAAGACTTCCAAACAGTGCTGACATCACCATTCAGGGGACAACATGGGAAACAGTTGGTTGTTCCAAGAAAAAATTTCAGACCAATTCTTTGGCCAAGGAGAGAGAGCCAAGGCCCAGAAGGGCCTGAGCACAGTGAGCCTGCAAGTGGAAAAGGCACAAGGCAGTGCTAGAAGAGATGGGGCAAAAGCAGAGACATCCTCGTTTGAGTTGATTTAGAATTAGCAAAAAATTCCAAATATAACTTTGCAAGTAACAGACTGGAGACAGCTCTGAGCTTCCTCCTACCCCTGCTTCTAATGGGCTCTTTAATCCTCTCCAGTCGGTGCCTCCTCAGGGCCCTGTGCCCCTGAATCTCCAGTCTGCTCTATTCCAACCTCCTTGGCACAAGCTCTGCCAAGAGCTCACTGGAGAGCCTGGAGTTGCTGCTCTGCTCAGAACCAAAAATCCCACTCCAGCTGATAAGCAGCATCACCCTGCTACATGAGCAACTCTCAGCTTCTGATCTATGCATTTATTTCCAGTGGGTCTCTTCAGCAGCCTGGAGAGCAGAACTAAAACTTGTCTCTCTGACAGGATGCACTAATGGCTCCAGACTGCCCATGTCTCAAGGCTGAGGAGATTCTTGCTGCTGCTGTTGTGCTCTGAGCAGAGGATGGTGCTGCTCACACACAGAGCCCAGCTGGAGCAGCCACCCTCACTCCAGTACAGTCACACAGCATCAGGCCAGGGCCAGACTTGGAGCCAAAAGATCCAGGCATCCCCTCTCAGAGCACACCAGCAGCAAACACCCTCCCCATTGTACCTGCCAGGAACTCTGCATCCCTTGGAGTTCTCCAGACAATCAACTGTGTGGTCAAGGCAGAGCAGAGGACAAGACAAACCACAGGGGGAAGGACAGGAGGAGAACAAGCTCACAGTGCATGATGAGGTTTGGTCTCTTCAGGGAAGATGTCCAGGGAATCTGAGGAAGGAAGTGCATGCCCAAGCAAGCCCCATGCATGTGTGTACCTTGTGATGCCAGCATGGCACCTGCTGTCTCCTGGAAATCCAGTAATTGCTGTAGGAAAAGGATGGCCTGGAGGCAAAGGAGGGAATTTAAGAGCAACCAACATTACATCTCCTGTGCTCTGCTATTAAGGATCATGAAGAACCACTTGTCCCCCCACACTTAGAGGCATTCAAGAACAAATCACTACACTCCTCTGAACTGCTGAGTTTTCCCCACACAGTCCCACCATGGCTGAGCAAGGGTCACCAGCTCATCCTGCCATGAAAATTGTATAACTGTTAATGCCAAGACAGCTTCATTTAGGAAACCTCCCTACTGCTCTTTCTAAAACTCCTTCAGAAGCTGTTTTTCACAAAGCATAGTTCAAACCATCACCACGTACATTGCTGGTGAGTTCATGAACTGTTCCATCTTTTGGCATGTTGTACTCCTTGTCTGGATCATTCTAAAAAGGGAACAGAGAGACATAAGGTGAGCATGGAAGGCGAGACATCTACAATACAACTGCTGCTCCAAGTGAGCTGAAGGCTCCTTCATGCAGCCACTCCCAACACCCTCAGGCCCAGCTCCTGCAGTGCCATCTCCTGGTGCTCAGAAACCAGAGCTGCCAGCAGCTCAGAGCCTCAGGCTCTGTTCAGCATGGGACCATCACACCTTCAGCTCACCTACCACTCACCAAGCCCATCTTACACAGGAACAGCTTAACAGGAGTCCTCCAAAATGTTTCAAGGCAGCAATTTTCCTTTCTGTTTAAATAGGATTAATTCTGAGATAGACTTGGTATCTGCAGAGGCCTGGATGCTCATATCAAATTATTTGTAGGATCCCTGCTAAGGATCTTAGGCAAAGGCCTTCTGTGTTTGAAACCAGCACCAAGCATTTGGTATTTGACTGTCCCAAGCATTCCAGCAAGTTCCTGCTTCAGTCAGAAGCTACCTGGTATCATGGAAAGCTGAAAGTTAAACTAGGGGTTTTGCTCCAAAAAACCCTCTTCCAAGCTTGATCAGAGACCACTGAGGAGAATCCTACCTTAATGTTGTCTGCAAACTCTTCCAGTGCCTTTGCACCAGTGGTCTCCATGGAAGTGATCAGCCCTGGCAGTTTGTTCTTAGTGCCTGCAGCAGTTCCCTGGAATAATTCCACAATAGGTCAGAAAAGGAAAACAAATAATATCTGAACTTCCACTGAGCACCTGCCCTACCTCACCCCCCACCCCAGCACCTCATTCTCAGCTCCCCACATGCCAGAAGAATATTTACAGCACATGAAATATCAATATCAACAACACATGAAATCCCACATTTTGCAAGCAGAAAGGGAAGATATTGTGGTGGTCCATTGGGGTCAGGACTTGAACTGAAAAGAGTTGCTGCTGAGAGATGCTGAGCTGCTGCTTCACCAGCTCAGAAAGGAGCAAGGTGCATTTGTGTAACTGCAGTCCATACTGGGGGACAGAAGCAGCATGGCTTTGCTCAAAGCCACTGTGACAGTCCAGATAACACAAGCCACAGGACCCTCTCCAATCCAAATCACATTTACCTGCAAAACCTGGTCAAATTCTGGCTTCATCTGCTTGAGATGCTTCAGGATGGGGAAGATTGTGAGCACAGCTGAGTAGTCATGTCTGATGATGGCTTTCCGGGCAGCTGAGACAATGTTATCACCCTCCATGATCAAATTATCCAATGACTCCTGCAACAAAGCCAGAGACTCATGAGGAAGGAACAGGATTTGTACGCAGGCAGCACAAAGGGCTCAGTGCAGGACACCCATTCCTGATGCATCATCTGGGGTACCAGTGAGCACATGCTCTCCAGCCTCTCTGCAGGCCCTGGCTCCCTCAACAGAGGCTCAACTGACCTGGATGAGAGAATCAAAGGTCTTCTTCTGGTGGTGCTCTGGGACAATTTCTGTCAGGAGCTGGTATTCGCTCTGGGCCAGTTTGACGAAGGCACTGACGCAGTGGATGTACGCGTCGATCTCGATGTCGAAGACGTCGTCCCTCCCTGCAAGGACAAGATGCCTCTGGTTTACACAAGGAGCACGAGGCTCTTCTGGGAAAGCTGATTCTGGCTTTGCACCCATCGTGTGTGAGAACAAGAGTCATCTTCTCACCACTCATGCCCTGGGTTTGTGAGTGGGAATCTCTGAGTAGCCTGCAGGAGGCAGGAAAAGCCACCTGCAGCTCAGGAAATGCACATCAGGGCACCACCTCTTTCCAGCCTCGTGACAGGAGTGAAGTTTGGAGCTCTTCTGGGATACAGACTAAATTTAATCAAGGGCTTGAACACAGAGTACTAAACTCAGGAAGGTCTGAGGTGAATTATTCAACATCTCTGCTTGTATTTTTAGAATTCCTTATCTCCACCCGTCATGCAGATGAAGAAGTGCCATTTGGCATCAACATTTCTGGGAAATAAAGGCTGTCCTGGAAGGCAGCTTCTTCCTGCTTGCAGAAACAAGATAAAAAACCAGGCTGATGAACATTTACATCTTATGAAGCAGGAATATCAGCACAGCTAGGTGAGTTATCTGCCACACAATGCTGCATACAAATGCAAATATCTTAGTCCTAGAATACGAATATCTCAGTCAAAGATCCATCAAAGATCCTATGTGGTAGGCATGAGAAGTGATGCAAGGGCCAGCACCAATTTGTGCCAACCACTGCTGGATGTGTCTGCAGGACAGACACAGACAGACCCCATCCTGCAAGACAGCAAGATGACACAGAGAGGCCTTCTCTAAGCTATAGGCTGCTGCTTCTCTCTTCCCAGAGACTTCTGCTGGAAAAAGGACCAATTCTTCCCCATGCTGACAGGTCCCTCAGGTTGATATTTCAGAAATTTTGGTCAGCAGAGGAGACACAGACTGCCTGCTGTGCAGTGGTGCACTGTAGCATGTGGGCACTGCTCCCTTTGCCACCTACAGGAAAATGTCCCTCAGCATGGTGACCTTTGCTTGGACCAAGTTGGGCTCCTTGTCTGAGGGCTTGGGAGGGGGTGTGATTAGTAGCAGTGAATTCTACTGAGAAGAGCCAGAGCTTCTTAGCCAGAGGAGGCTCATGCTTCAGGAGCAGCCCTGGCTGCACCATGAGAGTGGAACACAGAGCACAGGGAAGCAGGGGACAGCTGGCTCCCAGTGCCACCCCAGTACTTACCCACCGCCGGCCCGTGCTTGTCGCCCAGGGCATCGCAAAGGTGCTTAACGCGTAAGTCATGCTCATGACCTAGGAGGTGGCAGCCGGCACAAACAGAAGGCGCAATTTATCCAGGGTGGTCACAGCAAGGATGCTCACTCTGCCTGGAAGCTGCTTCAAGCCTGGCTTATTTGATCTGGTGGACATTTATTTCCCTACAGTCCCAGGAATGCTTCCTGACCAAATCCTTTTGTTGGGCTACATAGCAGTAGCAACCCTTTGAAACCTGATGAGAAGTGTGATTTGTTTCTTGGACCACAAGAGTCCCTTGAACCTCCTGCCATATGGTCTGAATGGGATTGCAGGCATCAGAATCCAGTTTTTACCCACAACCATTAAAAATCCAAACTCAAAGGCCCTCTCCTGGTCAGCATGAGGATTTTCCCCCATGTGAGTGATGTTAGTCACCATCTAGGGTTAGCAGGCTACAGCACAGGTGCTGAGGAGACCTGCTTAGGATGGAATCATAGCAGGAGGCAGGAATGTCTTAGAGATGCTTTGAAGGATCTTCTCCCTTATCTAGCACCACCTCTAGGAGCAGAGGAGGTCAGAAAACAGGAGTCACCCATTCAGGCAGGTCTGCACAGAAAAGATGTACAGGCACAATGCACTGAGGTACCTGTGGTCCTACACTTCAGCACCAGGTTTGGAAAGGTCACTAGGAAATTAATGTCTCAAAGTCCAGGCAAAAAGAAAAGAGAACAGGAACACCACAAGCAGATGTTAGCAGAGCTTCCATTACCCCGGTGGCTGTGGTGGGTCAATGTTAAGGTAACATTCCTCTCCACCTCTTCTCATGCTTATGGAGAATTTGAAATTCAGATAGTAAATTCTGAATAAATAAAACAAAAATAATTTGGTTCCAGCATCTCTTTGGTTCCAGCATCTCTTTGGTTCCCCAATCCAATGCTGTCCACCAAGCACTGAACCAATGGAAGCCCCACCTGGGAAAGCAAGGCTGATACACAGAGAAAGTCAAGGGTGAAGTAGCTGGAGCTGTGATTACCTTCCATAGGAATGAGGTTAGAGGCCCCCTTTTTCCCATCTAGACCATGCTGAGAGTACTGTTTCAGAAGGTTCTGAGCCTTACGGATCGTGCCTGTCACCAGAACCAGAGAGAAGAGACAAGAAGACCTAGAAAATGAGTGAAAGAAAACAAACCCAGAACACCAGCCCTCCACCAGCAAGTCACCTGGGCCCAGCAAGAGGATGCTGGGCAGCAATGAGGATGCTCAGCACAGGAATGTGAACCCCAAACTCATGTCCAAGTGTGCAGATACAATGGCATTTCCAGAATGCTGCCCTGCTTTGAGGCTGGGGGCATAAATTCCAGCCAGGGATACAGAATCAGTTTGGAGAGACAGCACAGTACGGCTGGGTGATAAACACAACCAGAGAAGGGAAGGCATGAAGCTCCCTTCTGTGTAAAGGGTTTATTGAAGTTGGTGCTCTGCAGACAGAAGGTTTCCTGCTTTTCCTCAGCTGTGGAAGCAGGGCTCTGCATATGGACAATTCGGGTCTGGCAACATGATGCCTGCTCCTCAGAGCCACAGCTGCAGTCACTTAGTACAAGGTGCCTTTTTTGAAGGGTATTTTCTGAGCATAATCAATAAAGAGCCATCAGGAGCCCCAGAGCCAAGACAAGGAATGGTACAGGAAGCAGGAAAAGGGTGACAACCTCTGGGCTTTTTTTTTGCAGCAGCAATTCCCATCACAGGAATCCCAGAATAATGGATGCTGCACACCCATGTGGAACTTGCACTAGGCCACCCTAATCCCCAAGACACTTCTCTTCTAAAGAACTGCAAATCAATTAAAACCATGGAGAAAAAAAAAATAACACTGGGTTAAAAGATTTATACTTGAAACAAACAAAAACGAGACAGAACTGAACAAAAGGCAGTGCTGGATATACAGCTGGAAAGCACAAAACAAAGCATTAATGAGACAACTGAAGCCTAGGCAGTGTTTCCACATTAAAAGGTTAGTTGTCATGCAACAAGCTACAATTACCACAAGCACACTGACACCCTCCCAGAGCAGACCTTTGCTGTTGCCTTCACAACAGGGAACTGGAAGTTTTGGGAAGGTGGAAGGGGTTTCTATAGGAGACCCAGATGAAACAGAACTGAGCTGAGTAAATGAAGAAGCCAAAAAACATCAAAATGCTGCTGCCAAAATTAAGAATTGTTCTTCTGCTATAAAGTAATAAATAATTTAAACATGCAGAAGATCTCTACTTCCACCACTAACTGTGAGCCCCAGTGCAGCCTGGAAATGAGTGCTGGCTGCCCAAATGCTGAAGGGAGCCCAGGTACACACTGCTGCACATCCCTGGAACAACACTCCAGGGTGCAGGACAGCTCCATCCCATAAAGGGATTTATGGCAAGGGAAAGGAGACTTCAGGTCCCCCAGACAGTGGGGGAGAACAGGAGAGAGAAGCTCCCCTTGAATTACCAAACTGCCTTAACCTGGTGCACTTACTAAATGACAGAACATGGTTCCCAAAATGTAATATTTCACTGGTAATATTGTCTTTTTACCACCTCAGAGTGTTCTCAATCACTTTGAAAAGAAAGAAAAAAATCATAACCATGAAACAGTTTCTTCTAGCAGGAAACTTCTGCCCTCCTGACCCACACCTGGGAGATGGGAAGGATGGGAAGTCTCACACCCTTGCTGGCTGATGCACTTGGCTCCCAAGTTTCTGCCATATGATCAAATGAGGGCTATCCTCTTCTTCCAAGCTTCCTGATGCTTTTCACACCCTGCATCTCCACTTTGTTCTTAGGTACTTCCAGAAACCTCAAGTTTCCACCAGCAAGCTCCTCTGAGCAAGGAAGGCCCTTCCTTACTGCTGCTCCCAGGGCCCAGCAGCTGCAGAGAGCTCAATTCAGGCACTGTTCTTCCACCTTTCCCATTTTCAAGCATTTAGGGGGAGGGGGGAAAATGCAAAGGAATAAAAATAGAGGGTGAATTGGTGTGAAAACCAAGCAGACAGTGCAACTGCTGCTGCTGTGAGCAGGCTCTCACTCCACAGGTATGCAGTGGATGTTTTCACAGCCTACCCTTGATGGTTTATTCTCTTTTTCATTTTTTTTCCTCTTTTTCTCAATTTCAGGAGCTGATTATGCTGCATTTTATTTACATAAGCACAATTACCTGTGTTTACTGACACACACTGAGTGTTCAGTGTCCAGGGGCATCACTGCAGTGCTGCTGGATCCCTCTGACTTGGCATCATAATTAGGCTTTAATGGATTCTGGTGGAAGCCAAATGTTTTTGTTCCAGGATTGTTTTCCCCTATTAAGCAGCTCCTTAACCAAATGGGACTGTGTTTCAGCTACTAATGAAAACATCACATTCAAGCCAGGCAGTGATCAGGCTGGGAAACAGGAATGGGCTCTTTACTCTGCCACTCAACCTGCCTGTAGGTGCCACCTCACTGGAGCACTGAGGAAACTGGAAAAGAGCTCCCCTGTAGTCTGAAAAGAGCCTCCAAAGGTTAAAAAACACCTGGAACCTTTGCTTCTGCAGCCCAGTTGCTCCATGGAGTGGGGTTTGAGCATCCATGAGATATTTTTACAAATGTAACTCATTCTCTTGTTTCTCTCTTCCATTAGGCAGTTTCCTGTCCAAGCAGCAGGGCAATACATCCTCTTTTCTCCAGCACCAGCTGCAGGAATCTGCATGAAACCAGACAGTGCCCTCTGGCTTTTGTAGGCAGCCAGGCCAGGTGGCCCCAGCCCTCCCCAAAAGTGCAGAGCTGCTGAGCTGCCTGCTGCTCTCAAGCCAAAAGAGAGCCCAGGGCCTACAGGCATCACAAAGAAATTTTATTTTATGTACATATGTTTGCAGCAGGATGGTTTGGGAACCTGAATACACCTACTCTCTGAGAAGGAGTGCTGTCATTCCAAACATCAAACTAAAAAACAAAAAGCCCACAAATCATCAGCTCAACTTGACCTGTCAAGTGTCACTTAAAAGGAGACAACTCTGCTTTAGAAGCATCTCCAGCAGTCAGATTTTTACCTCCATGATGTAGTAACAGGAGACAGCACAGGATACATCAACAGACAAAACAGGAACAGAGAGATGAAGACCCTCTGAAACAACACATGGATATGGAGCATGTTCTCTAGAATTCAGCACAGCCTCTGGGGCTATCTCTGCCTTGTTAACCCTGCTCCTCACCTTCCCTTTAGCTTCTCTTGTGCTGTTTTGCAGTAAAAAAAAAGCTATAGCACATGAGATTTAGTTTGTTATTTACCCCTTGCAACAGGTTAAAGTGTGCATTGGGGTGTGCACTGGGATATTCTTCCTCAAGGATCAAGGAAATCAAGTCTCTTGTTGGAGCTGTCAGAAAATCCCCTTCTCTGAAACCCAGAATGGCAGAACTTGGCTTTACTTACTGAAATAAAGTAACAGAACAGAAAAAAACCTTTGTCCAAATTGAACAAAGGCTAAAGCCAGGGGACTCAAACACCACCAGACAACGTTGCTCTGCAGAGAGCCACTGTGCCAGGGTGAAGGTGGGGTGAAACCTCCACCTCAAAAGCTGTACTTGAAAGCTAATGGAATTGCAGAAAAAAACAGTGAATCTGTGCCCAAAGACTCTTCTTCTCCATTTTTAATTTCACTGAAGTACAATTCAGCAGTCATAAGAGATGGCTGCTGTATGAGGTTCAACATCCACTGTCCTTCAAGAGCTGCAGTCTGGTTCTCTGTCTGCTTCATGAAGACTGGAGACAAATGAGCCACTATTTTTTCCTGACATTACAATAACCCAATGGATCACTTGAGACACTTTCCTTCATGCACCATCAGCTCCCTAGTGCATTCAGACCATGCTCTATCTGCTCCATCTCACAAAGTCCAATTGAACTGGGCATAAAGACATGAAAATCTTCTGGCACATCTACAGCTGAGGCTTTCCTCATGACAAGTAATTCTGGATGCCCAAATGCATCCACTTTGGAGGAGTGCTGTTTGTAGGAACTTGTGCTCTCCAACGTTTGGGCTCCTCTCTATGGAGCATCCAAGATCTGAGACTCTTTAAAAAATCCCCAGGATTTTTCAATAATCTGCCCATAAAAACAAAGCATCTCCCCCATCCCTGACTCTTTATCTAAGAGCACAGGGGAGATACAATCACTTGTCAGGCTGCTCAGAAATGTTTGCTGACCATGCTGAATTCATAACAATAAAAACACAGGAACCTTTTCAGAATCAGGTGATAACTGAGAAGTGTTGGCCAAATCTGAAGCATCTGCAACCTGAGATTCCTATGGCTCAACCACAGAATTCCACTGGCACCTTTCAGTGCCTCTGAGCCTTACCAAGTGATTCTCTGCTGCCAGGGAAAATTCACTGAAATTCACAGACCAATTCCATCAGCTTTCAGGGACAGCTCCAGAGCACAGCAGCAATGGCACAGATTGATTTTAAAAGACCACAGGGGTGATGTCTGGATGCCACAGCCTTCCCCCTCCAAATATCCCAGGCACACCCTCTGCTGTAGCAAGAAGAGGCCCAGCAAAGCCTCTCCACACACAGAAGTGAAGAGAGTGAGCACCAGGGCCAGCACACACACACATAGACACATTACCTGGGATGAGGACTGCATTCACATCAGGATTATAAAAATAAACACAACACAATTAAAATGGATATTTCTTCTTCCTCCCTTTCCCCATCCCATCCATTCCCAGTCCCTACCCACATTTCCTACTATTTTAAGAGTATTTGGACAACACAGGACAAAAAAGGGAAGGGGAGTATTGGCCAGGTAAACCTACAGAAAAATGAACTTTTCTGATGTGATCACAGTTACAGAGATAACAGAGTGCTGGGACACAGAGGATCAATATCCCTCTGCTGGCTTTTGCTGTTCTTCCTGGCTGTGCTCCCACCAGATGGCACATTCCAGAGATGGGAACTCCAGAATGACCATCCTCAGCAGCTGCACCAAATGCAGCAAAACTGCATTGTGAGGAAAGAAGGAATAACCCATCAGCCACATTCATAGCTCTTCCTGAGACAGGCTGAGGGCAGAGTTTTAAGAGCCTTTTTAAAGGCTTCAGACAATGCTGTATCTCATTTCTGTAGGCACCTACCTAATCCCCATCTCAGCTCCTGGGGGCTTCTTGCTTTCCAGCACAGTAATAATTTATTCACAGCTAATGATTGAAATGAGGTTTTATCAGATATGAGCTTTCTATTTGATGTGGCACAGGCTATATTCCACATGCCAAGGCTCAGGATTTTACCTGAGGTGTTCTTCTAGATCAAATCCTTTTACAGCCCACTTAGGTCTCTTTTCACTCATCTCCTTTGTTAAGGAGATATACACAGGGCCTCTCTTTACAGCACCCAAAAAACAGACCTGATGGCTTGACAGCCAGACAGAGTCTGTAATCCCAATGCTGAATCCAGAGCAGAGAAGTGCTTACCTCCAAAATCTCACCTAAATCTCCTAAAACCACAATTTAAACACAGAGATACCTCAGCAATGAGAAAGCCTGAGGATGTGGTAATACCCAGTGCAGTGACCCCTCCTGGGGGACTCACCTGGTCTCTTGATGGGCTTTTTGGTGGGGGTGTCCTTCCTTTTGTTCTGAATGGCAGGGGAATAGGGCACCCCTGAGGAGGAGCTGTTCTTACGGAAATGGTCCTTCAGCCCCTTGATGGAGCGGTCGAGCTGCACAGAGCGGATCTGGAAGTAAACTGTCATGAAATCTGAGGAGACAAGGTAAAAATGAGATTATAGACACACAGGGAACACTATATGGTAAAGCAGACACTTTATACCACTGTAGGGACTTCGAAGCATCGGTGTGGGACCCCAAGTTGGCATCCTTCCCTCCCAGAGCATCTCCTATTTTCTTCAAAAACTTCTTCTCCCTTCCCCTGCAATCCTCATTCCAGCCCTCCCACCACACACAACATTAATTCCACCACTATCAAGTGGTGGAACTGACAGGAGATATTTGTGCAAGGCATTGTCAATTCAAGTGCTCTGTTTCCAGCATGAGAGACTTCACACGCTTTTCAGGATTCAGGGCACTCAGGAATTTAATGAGGTGATTGTCATTTGAAAGCAGAATGCAAACTGACTAATAAAATATGCTCTGTATGCATGAGTTGCCTTTGATCATGGAAAAATCCCTAAGAAGCTTTTAAGGATGTTCATCATACTTGGTAGGCACAGTAATCCCCCGCTCAGGAGTGAATCAGTGAGGTGGGGGGTGATTCTTGGAGCTGCATGAATGTGAAAGTTCACATTTCCTGTACAAGTCTACAAAGTGACTCAATCCTGAAGGAAAAGTTAATAAAAGGACTATAAAGCTCTAGGCAGTTCTTGATGCTGCAGAACAGGAAAGGGGACATGTACAGACTGAAGAAAGTCTGTTCTGCTTTCCCCCTTGCCCTTGGTCACTTTCTGTACAGAGATCTTTGGTCATAAATATTTCCCAGATGGGAATAAGTGCCCAGTGTCTCGCACATTTATAAAACCTGAGCACTGGATAGCTGCAGCTTCATCTCAAGGCATTACAGGTGCCAGTGCAGTGGATTTTTGCTACAGGACAGACTTTGCATTAACATAATTCGTGCTTTGTTTACACAGCTCATTCTGTTCAACCCATAACCCATCACTTCAGTTTCACTACAAAAAAAAAAAAGAAAAAAACAAGCAGCATCTCCAGGTGCTGGAAAGACTGAAATACTCAGCTGAAAGGTGCCACTAAGGTGCCACTCATCCTGCCAGTGCTGCCCACAGGGACAGAGGGGCAGCAGACCCACCTTGGTTCCTGCCGTTCTCCACCAGCCAGCCCGAGATGCGGACGATGTCGTGCAGGACGCTCTCCGGGAGGTGCTCCAGGGACATCTCCTCCTGTGTATCCATCTCTTCATCCCCACTGATCAGGTCCAGGATCAGGATGGGTGGCACTGGCTTGGTGTGTCGGGTCATCAAGCTGCGGAACTCCGACTCCAGGGATTCCTTGCCCCGCTCAAAGAGGGATTTCTGGCACAAAACAGCAGGGCAGAAGCAGAACAGGAATTCTGTCATCAGGCACTCAGGAGTATTTTTGCATAAGAACATCCTTCCTAACCACTGCCAAGTACTGCAGGCTTCAAACTCCAACCACACCTGCATCGGAGAGACTTTTAAAGTGAATTAAATTTAAGAAATGCTTGGGAGTTGTTCAAGTGGGATTTAAGGAGATCACCCATTCTGCTCAAGCAGCTGAAGGACTTTTGCTTTCTGGAGGGGCCCTCCTTTGCAGACTCTTTAACAAATTTGCCCTAAACCAGGACACAAGAGCTGCTCAGGAGGAGTTTCAATCTATTCCTCCTCCACAGGTGCAAGAGCTGCTTTCAGAGTCCTCCTGGCACAACAGAGAGAGAGAGCAAAATGCCAGGAGCAGAAATTGTGCTCAGAAGCCAAAGCAATGATTCCTTCAGCTGTGCCCAAACACCACCTTCCCCAAGCAGCAAAGCCACAGCCCCTCCAGCAGGGGACAGGCAGCAGGGCTGTGGCTGTCCCCTCTCATCACCCACAGCTTCCAGGTCACCCACCACACGGTTCAGCTCCGGGCTGTCAGGGTTGTTGTCCTGGAAGTACTCCACTGCCTTCTGGATTTTGTCCATGCAATTCAAGTATTCCTCCAACCTCCCCGTGGGGCTAAAAATAAAAGCAGAAATAAAAAGTAGTGCCCCAAGAAGCAAACAAACAAAATAACAAGAAAGCACCAAACCAGACTCAGGATAAAAAATAACAAGGGAAATCTCAATTCCCTTTTCTTCAGCTAGGAGGAGATCATGGAATTCCCTTCTGCCTGCACTCAGTGCCTCAGCAGGATACCCAACCCACACAGCAAGTGCAGAAGTACTGATGATGGAGCAGCACACAACTCTCAGCCTTGCTTTGCTCTCCCAGACAGGCCCTGATGGGAAGGCAGAGGGAACTGCACATCCCATCTCAGACATGAGCCATCCAACACCCTCCCAGAGCAGGAGGCTCCAGAACAGCTCTGGTACATCCTGGATGCAGTGACAACCTTCATGAGCAGGGAAAACCTTTGGGAAAAGGGCAGAGGAAAACAGAGCAGCCACCAGTGCTCATGGAGATTGCAAAGGGAGCACCTCTGCAAGATCTGGAAGAGATCCCAATGCAGAGTCTGAGTTGTCTTTGCCTGTGGAAATGGCTGAATGTCAAATCAGGGTGCACTGGGGATGAGGGAAGAGTGTGGGAAGGGTACCAAGCATCCCAAGGGTGTGTGGAGTCAGCTTCCCCACCTCTATCTCAAAAATCCAACAGGGTGAAGCTCCCAGCAGGATGTATCTGCTCAACTCACCCTTCCTTGATGATCTTCTCTGTGTCCTTGGCCACGTGGTAGTAACTGATGACATGATCCAAGCAGGACAGGGTCTTCTCCACGTTCTCCTGCAGACGCTGCAGGTTCTCTGTCTGCTTGTGGACAGGGATGATGGAGTTCTCCAGCTTCATCAAACGGCTCTCAAAGGAGGAGAGGATTGAAACCTACACACCAGAGAGAGACCAACAGCTGAGGACTTTCTTCCTATGGAGAGGGCAGGACTTAGAGCAGTGAAGTCAGGGATCTTCAGGGCCTAGCTTTTGGTTTTGGGCTCTGCTACTAATTTGCCATGGCTCCTTAACAGCTGTTTCCATCCCTCTGTGTCCTGACTTTTATTAACAATCACAAAACAGATCTCCTGCCATAGAGGGATGGGCCAATCCCACATGAAATGCTTACAAAGAGTGAAGATAATGTTCCAAGACAGTAAAAAAGACAATCAAAATTCTATTCACCAACAGAAAATAAATCCACAGGAACTGCCTGGAGGTGCCCCATGTAAAAAGAGCAGCAAAAGCACAACCAGCAGCCCCTTTGCTCCTCACTGAGACCCAAACAGGAGCTGCACAAGGACCAGTCTAGTGAGAATCTTCTTTTCTATCAGACATTTGGTTTTTAAAGAGGTTTTGGTTTTAAAGAGGATCATGATAGTGCTTCTGATAGTCTTGTTTTCCACACTTCTCTGGTGTTGCCTCTATGACTTTTTTAAAGCACTGAGACCAAGACTGGACAGAGTACATAAGCTGAGGGCTTATGAGCCATTACAACACAATAATTACTTTTTTACCTTTACACAGAACACTCACAAAATAAAACTCCAAACAAAACCTGAATTATGAAGCAACAACACCATGCTGTTGCACAAACTAGTTCTGAGATCTCTTAACACCTTTTCCCCAAGAGAGAGGACTGACTGCAGCAGAGATGAGGCCAACAGCTCAGCTGAGCCCTCAGCAGAGCAGGAGAGAAACTCAGTACTGAAGCATTTCTCAGGTTTTCCCTTTGCCCAGTCACTGAAACCAAAGTGGTTCATGGCTCCACATCCCTCAGATGGGCACAACAACAGCCTTGAAAACCAATAAACCTAAAAACCTAAGAAAAAGTAAAGCCAGGCCCAACATTAGGACATCCCTACCATGTTCTTGGTGAGCTGGTCACTCTTCTCAAGGCTTTCTTTGATAAAGGACAGAGTTTCTTCTTCCTGTGAGTAAGATGAAAATAAAAAACCTCTTACATTCTGAACACTAAGGTGTAAGTCATGAAACAGTACACACAGGTTCTGACCAATCTTGTAAACTCTGCTGCAAGCCATGTTTGGTCTGATGCTGATTCTGTGGCCACATTTTAATACTGCCACCTCTCAACAGAAATCCGGGCAAGTAACCCAAGGTGGGGACACATCCTGTAATGAGTCAGGGGGTTTATGAATTCATTGTTTCCCTTCAATGCCATGAGCATCAGCACAAAATAAAATTAACAGTTTTCCCACTGAGGCACAAGGACTCAGAGCACACATTTTGCTGCCACAGCACAACACCGGTGTTACACTGGCACCTCCAAATCCACCGGGAACTCAAGTGTCCGATGCAAAGCAGCCACCGAGGGCTGGTATTAGGGCATTCAAGCCCACAGATGGGGGGAACAGCAGCCTGCAAGGGCTGGATTGAGTCCCCAAAGGCCCCAGCAGAGGGGGAACTGCAGCCGGTCAGGGCTGCCCTCACAGGCTGCACCTGCTGGGAGAGCCCCCGGACCCTCCCAAGAGCCGACAGCGGAAACCCAGGCCCAAAGCGGGGAGCAAAGATGCCCCGACCCTGCAAACCAGGCCTTGAAGGGGGATCTGGGGGTGTTCCCAAGCCAGGAGGGGGATGCCGAGAGCCTCGAGG